ATATATATATATATATATAAAAAGTTATAGAAAGTCGGGAGAAGAAATTTTCTTTTCTTTTCTTTTTTTCTTTCTTCTCTTCTCTTCTCTTCTCTTTTCTGTTTTTTTTTTGTTTTTTGTTTTTTGTATTTTGTATTTTTTTTTTTTTTTTTTATATTTTCATTTTTATTTTACTTTTCTTTTCTTTTTTTCTTCACGACGAACATTTAAAAAAGAAACTTTCATACACGTTCGCATAGATTTCTTATACTATAATGTATCCTTCTAGATGTATATATTTTTTTTTATTTATATACGTGCATATATATATATATATATATATATTTTTTAGATTTAACTACGAGATAGAACAAAACTGGTATCGTAGGGTATGTTAAAGTGTCACGTGTTAGTAGCAGATAGATGTTCTATATCCTATAAATAGATAAACGTAGTACGAACTATTTCGAATACAATACCTAGTTCGATAAGATTCTAGATATTCGATGAACGGTATACGTTTATGCATTTCATAATATATATATATATATATATCTCGCATACATAAGTAAATGTAAGAGAGAAAGAGAGAGAGAGAAACAGAGAGAGAGAGAGAGAGAGAGAGAGAGAGAGAGGCTCGAGTTACAGAACGTTTACGACGTCGCATAAGATTTTAATAATCTTCGTTCGCACGTTATTATAAAGTCGCGCGATAACGTTACGCGAACGATCCTTTTGTAATTTCGTGAAGATTATTACCATTTTATTTTTTTTCTCTCTTCTTCTTCTTCTTCTTCTTCTTCTTCTTTTTTTCCCAATTTTTTTTTTTTTTTTTACTTCATTTTATTTCATTTTACTTCATTTTATGTTATTCTTTTTTTTTCTTTCTCTTTCTCTCTCTCTCTCTTCTCTCTCTCTCTCTCTCTCTCTCTCTCTCTCTCTCTCTCTCTCTCTCTCTCTCTCTCTCTCTCTCCCTCTCTCTCTTTTTCCCCTTAGACAGGTACAATTTGCAAATATCAAAAAAGATTACCGTTTCTCGTCGTTAAATCGATTCGACAATTTGTTACATTGTATTTCCTGTTGTTATCGTCGACCACTTCGTAAGTTAAAAAACATTAAATAAATGAATGGTCATGTGAAAGAACTCGTTTTGTAATTTTGTCCTTCTCTCTCTCTCTCTCTCTCTCTCTCTCTCTCTCTCTCTCTCTCTCTCTTTTTTCTTTTTCCTTTTTTTTTTTCACGAGAAACGATTCACCGCAAATCGTTTAATCGCATTTATTTCTTTCTCTTTATTTCTCTCTCTCTCTCTCTCTCTCTCTCTCTCTCTTTCATTTATCGTACATTCACGTAAATTTGCATCTTTACAGGAATAATTTGCAAATAATAAATATCGTTGTTTCTCTTTGTTAAATCGATTCGATAATTTTTATAAGTTACATACATTGTATTTACCTTTTATTATCATTAACCGCATGTAACTTAACTATTTCATATTAAATATTAAAACAAATGAATTTTTACTTGTAATATTTTTCTAATTGAAAGAGAGAAGACATTACGAATTTGTTGAATCACAATTTTATTACACACACACACATACACACACACACATATATATATATATATATTTATTTCTTTCTCTAGCTCGTAGAATCGCGTTAATTTTGTGAGAGGAAGAGGCAAGATTGAAAGAGAGAGAGAGAGAGAGAGCAGGAGAGAGAGAGAGAGAGTGAGAGATATATGTAGAGGGGTGGGAGGGAAAAGAAAAAGTGGATCCTTGCATTCTTCGACATCGGGCGAAGGTCGTGTGCGTGCGAACGTGAGATCGGCAAGGTCGGTTATTCATCCCCGCTGAGTTTCACAAGGATTTTGTTAAATCCGATTGCGATTTTCTTATGTTAGTCACTCGCTACTCTATTAGGCATTAGATTTCATTTCGTGAATAGGACTTTCAGTTCGAGCGTATATGAGAGCGTGTCAGATCTTTTTTTTTTTCTTTTTCCTTTTCTTTTCTTTTTTTCTTTTTCTTTACGTTTTAAAATGTTATGAGAATCGTCGTATTTCCTGTTCTTCATTGGTTTCAATAGCATGATTCTTCATTAAAGAAATGGAAATTCTGTTAATTATCATTAATACACTTGGAGAATAAATTCAAGCTGGAATATATATACGATTATTTAATGTCAATTTAATGTGATTTAATAATTAATAAGAATATTTCAATTTTGCCGCGACAAGTTTTTTCTTATCTTCTTTTTTTTTTCTTCTTAATCTTGAAGGATCTTTTTTTTTTCGTCTCTTTTCGTTCAAAAATTGCCTCTAAAGTATACGCGTGGATCGCTATGAAAAAAGAGAGAAAAAAAGAATTAAAAAAAGAGAAACGATATCTATCGGATTTGGATCTTAGGAGAAACGAATTGGAATTTTTGTTTCGTGAAAAAAAAAAAAATACAAATTGATTTTGGATGAACGAAGTAAGAAAAGGTGAAAAAAAAAAGAAAAGAAAAGAGAAGAAAAGAAG